GACTACCATCCTCCATCTCGCCCGACCCCACTTTCCTTGCAAAAGTCGGGATGGACCCTCGGCCTGCGGCTCCCGATGCATCCACGGTGGCGGCATCTAGGTCAATTCCTTCTCCAGCAAGCAAGTGGTGGGATTTACTTGTAAGTAACCGTAACTCGGACCGCTACCCTAAACTATCACATTTTACAACTATTACTGAATCCAAACAATGCACTTTACAACCCGCCGATACCCACTGTGAGTTACGAAAAGTATGTCTTGTGGGATATATTGCTGGAAAGTATCCAGGATTCAAAGCCCTCAATGGAATTATCAAAGATACCCGGCATTGTGAGGCTTCTTTAACGATACATGAATCCGGTCGGCTCATTTATAAATTCCAAATAGAGGAAGATAAACTTTCGATTCCGAATCGAGGACCATATCCGATTTATGGGCGTGCTTTAATTTTGCGTCCAATGTCGAATAATTTGATTTCTCCATATCCGAGATGGCTACTATCCCCGTTTGGATTAAACTTCCCAACTTCGCCACTCAAATGTTGATCCACTACATGTTTGTCTAAGATTGCTAGTCCGTTGGGCAAGCCTCTTCAATATGACTCGTTTAGTTGCTTCCATGGACGAGACTTTCCTATGCTCGAGTCCTTGTTGAACTTAATATTATGGAATCCCTCCCTCGGATGGTCGGCATCCTTTTATTGAATAATACCACCCTCGTGCGGCCGAGTGGTCTATGAGTCTCTTCCCATCCATTGCAAAAACTGCCGAACACTTGGGCATTCCACAGCAGCGTGCAAAACTCGAGCTCCTCGGGATTCAAGTAAGGAACCCATCAATGGTAGTGCAGCTACCGATGGGCGAGCCGAATTAGTGTTTTTCAACGTCCGGGTGACTCGCCACGCCGAGCCCGCCCACGACCCACTCCCTTCGCCCACGGTCCACTCACCTCCCGATCCCATGCTATAAGAAGCTGTCGAGTGGGTGACGGTGAGGTCCAAAACACACTCACGTCGAACCGGTGATAAAGGTAAACATGTTATGGTTGATTCCGCCACGAGTCCGAGCTACCATAGGCCCGGCGCCCCCTTCTAACATTGAGCGGATTGAGGTTCGGTCCGAGTTGGCGGGTTGCGGTAACGGGGATACAAGTGGGCTGAGTAGCCATATTGTTGACCAAGGCAGACAACGAAAGCCATCGTGCCGGAGATAGAACACATCGGACTACTTGTGAAAATGGCTCTCCCGATAGACGTAATAGTGGCACGTCCGGGCCTCCCATCACAGGGTCGTCTCTAACAAGAAAGCTAAATGCTTAAATGTTCCAGCTTCCCTCGAGGACACCATTTTGGACCCCACGATAAGACAAGAAGAACGGATGGTAACGGCGACTTCACCTAGGCGATCGACCAGCAGAGGCGTAACAAAGGGCGAAGTAGGGGTCGAAGAGGGTCGGCCTCTTCCGCTCATCCATGATTATCTATAGGCTGGAATATCGGAGGGCTTAATAGTCCCTCGAAACAACATGAGGCAGTGTGTCTCATGAAGAAAATAAGGTTGATGTGTGTGCCTTTGTTGAAACAAAACTCCGTTTTGCTAGGCTTGTCAATATGCATTGGCTTAGACTCAATCAATGGAACTTCATGTCCAATGCTATGGTAGCGGGAACCGCCCGCATTGCACTCTTCTAGAATTCAACAACCATATCGGTTACTTTGTTGAATGTTTCTATCCAAGGTGTCAATGTTAGCGTAACTACCTTGTGCAAGCAATTGTCTTTTAATGTTACTTTTGTCTACGGGTTACATTCGTTATCGCCGAGAAGAGAGTTGTGGGCTGATCTTCGTCATTGGCAGTCGAACTACCCTTGGCTGATTCCGGGGACTATAATTCTATTTTATCACAAGCCGATAAGCATAGGGGTACTACTTGTCTCCCACTACGAAACCGTAGACTTCGAAGTTGTTGCTCTGATCTTGGCCTACTCGGACCTTAACTATACGGGGAGCCATTTTACTTGGCATGGGGCCGATGTATGGAAAAAAATCGACAAAGTTCGGCCAACCCTTTATGGTCCTCCTCTAGGCAGCTTGTTCATGTTCATTTTGGCCCTCCGGCGCTTTTTCGAATCACTCTCCGATATTGGTACATTTGGGCTCCCAAGTTTCTTCCGGAACCCGTAGTTTCAAATTCTTTAATATGTGGGTTGTCCATGATGCTTTTCTTCGAACCGTTGCTGACGAGTTGGGACGCTAGGTTCGATGGCACCCCAATGTATATCCTCCGTCGTAAATTGAAATCACTCAAGGAACCTCTTAAGCAACCGAACACACTCCATTTCAGCCACATCTCCCAAAGGGTGACCGGGTCGAATTTGATTTGGCTACAATACGGTCCAAGCTTCACTCGGATAGAGATAACTTGGAGCTTAGTCAAACCGAAAAAAGGCTCCGACTCCATTTGGCTAACCTCAAAGCTTCGAAAAAGATATTCTTTGGTTAGAAATTAAAGTGCAAGTTTCTTAAGGATTACGACAAAGGCACTAGTTTCTTTCATCGACTCATGAACCACAAGCATAAAGCCAACTATATTGCTCGCTCTTCATCGGGGTGATGGGCAGCTCACTACCTCTATCGCGAAGTAGGAGAGGAGTTCGTTTCCTATTATCACAACCTCTTAGGTACCACCAAAGCTACGGTGCCCCTCGACCCGTAAATTATTGCTAGTGGGCCTTGCTTACATACGGTCGGCCATGATCGGCTTCTCTCCTCGGTCACCCATGATGGCTTCTCTCCTCGATCACGGTGGACCTCATCAAGAAAACACTCTTTAGCATAGACAATGACAAGGCACGGGCCGTGATGGGTATTCCTCATTCTTCTTCAAATAGGCTTGGGAGATTGTTGGGTAAGATTTTTGTGCGGCGCTTCAAGACTTTTTTGTATCCAGGCGGCTCCTTAAACGGGTTAGCCACTCTGTTGTAGCTTTGGTCCCAAAAACGACCAATGCTACCGTGCCAAATGACTTTAGGTCGATCTCGTGCTCGTAATGTCGTCTATAAGGTCATCACCAAGATCATCTCATCTCGGCTATCCTTGGCACTAATGGATATAGTCGGCCCTATGCGGAATGCCTACCCGGGGGTCAAAAAATGTCGGACAATATTTGCTTGGTTCGGGAGTTACTTCGCATGTATGGTCGAAAACGTGCTTCCCTAGGTTGCCTAATGAAGATTGATTTACGTAAGGCCTTTGACTTTGTGTAGTGGGATTTCCTAAAACGACTCTTATTAAAATTAGGTTTCTCGGACATATTCGTTGGTTGGATTATGACATGTGTTGAATCGGCCTCCTACTCCATCTCGATCAACGGGAGCTTGTTTGGGTTCTTCTCGGGTAAGGCGGGGGTTAGGCAAGGTGACCCCCTCTCTCCCTACCTATTTGTGGTATGCATGGAATACTTCTCTCGCCTGCGAAGGTTGCTGCTAGGAATTCGATTTTCGCTTCCACCCTCGGTGCGGGGTCCATGCCATCACCCACCTAGCATTCGCGAATGACGTCTTGTTACTTAGCCGTGCGGATGCCGCCTCCATCAAGATTCGACCAGCCGGTTGCTTATCTTTGAGAGTGTTTTTCGACCTAGCCATCAATGTGGCCAAGTCCTCCATCTTCTTTGGTGGGGTCGAAGCAATTTAAAAGAATCTATCCTTCGAGAACCGGGTTTTGTGAAGGTTCTTTCCCCTTCAAATACCTAGGGGTCCCTCTTAGCCCTCATCGCCTACTCTCTAGCCGGCTTGCTCCTTTGCTACATAGTCTCGATTCATCGATCCGGAGCTGGATGGGAAAACATCTATCCTATGCGGGTCGGCTAGAGCTCCTCGGATTCGTCCTCTTCGACATGATACAATTCGGCTCACTATTTTTCTTATGCCTGCTCGTGGTCATTGCACGTATCACCGGTATGTGTCGAAATTTTTTATGGACGGGAGATGTCAATAGGTGTTCTTCGGCTTTAGTGGCTTGGCGAGCCTCTGTTCCCCTAAATCCGAGGGGGGCCTTGGAGTCTTTGATATCAAAGTGAAAAACCAAAGTTTTTTGGTCAAAAGGCTGCGGGACTTACTCCTCAAGGTCGACTCTATTTGGATCCGTCGGATCCACCATTTCTATTGCAAGGATCCCAAGTATGGGATGCTTCGCCTACCATAATGCTTCACCATTGTGAAAAGCTATACTTCATGTGAAAGACTTGCTTATCATGAAATATAAGAGTAAAGATGCAGCTATGTGTGAACTTACTAGGTGGAACTCGGGAGAAGGAAATTTCTCTCATGCTGCATATACACGGCTTCGACCAGTTAGGGCACTCGTGTCTTTGGAGTAGGGTGATTTGGGAGTCATGGTCCCTGCCTCGGCATTCCTTTATTTTCTAGCTAGTCGTTAGGGGAGCCTTAAAAACTAAGAACCATCTCCGGTTTCTACCCACCACCGATGCATGACTCCTTTGTGATCAAACCTCCGAGTCTATTAACCATTTGTTCTTCTCCCGCCCTTGGACGACCAACCTCGCGGTTGGAAATCAAGCAATGGCTTCGAATCCACGGGGGTATGCATATGCTCACCGAGTGCGATCGGAGGCCTATCTTGTCGTCGTAACAATCTTGAAGCAAAAATGAGGAGAGTGGGCCTCGGTATCATGGTTTATGTCATCCGGGAAGAGAGAAATAGGCGTGCCTTTGATGCCTTAGCTAGCACGATAGCCAATGTGTTTCATAAATTCTAGATAATCTTCTACATGATTTTCTACTTTCATGAATCGGACCCCTCTTCTTATCTATGGGTGTGCCTTGATCTCCTACTTGAGGGCTCCGAGTACTATCCGGATAGGTTGCTTCGTTTGGTCCTTTGGGTTCGAGTCTTCCTAGGTTGTTTGGCTCCTCTTGTCCGTTTTGAGTTAGTGGTTCTGCGGTCGTGTTTTGATCGAGGGTCACACCTCTTTTTGGGCATGTCTAGTCCTTATTTGGTGCTTTGCGGCTCGCTCCTTAGCCTCTGCTGGCGATGGTCGGAGTTGGTCGAGCTTGCTTCTGCCGGTGGCTTACCCTTTTCGGGTTTGATTATAGGTCCGCTTGATTGTTTATGTGGGCTCGGCTTTTGGTTTGGTTGGCTTCGGTTTGGTTTGGTTGGCTTCGCTCCTTGGCCTCTACTGCTTGTCGGTCTTATCATTTTATGCTATGGTTGTCCCGGCCTTGGGCGGCTTGATATGTCTGCTGGGTTGGCCTACTCATGAATTAGGCCTCGCCCCCATTCTTCCCGACTAGCTTCGTCTCTCCGCCTAGCTTCGATGCTTCTACTCCTACTAGCTGCTGTCCCTCATGCTTCGCTGGTCCCTCACTTCTGCCGAGCTAGTAGCTTCCGCGATATGGTTTCCGGTCTACTTGATTGTTTGTATTGGCTCTAGCTTTTGGTTTGGTTAGGTTTGGGTGGTATTGGCTTTGGTCTAGTCGCCGAGCTCCTTAAGCTCTCCGGTTAATTTGTTTTGGGTACTATCCCTCAGTTGGTTTGCCTCTGGTTGTCTCTACCTTGGCTAGCTCGATTAGTATGCCTTCTCTTGTTCTTCTAACTACCGGTCCATATCGGATTAGGCTTCACCAGTCCGGCTCCTCTATCGTGTTCAAGCCTCTTTTTGTCTTGCGCCGAGCAGCTGCTTTGGATGCTCTTTCGTGTTGGCTCCCCCACCTCTCCCGTGGCTTTACGCCCGCCTTGACCCTCTACCTCGCCTATTGCTTCCGCTCCTACTTGCTGCTGTCCATCTCTTATCATGCGGTCTCTTTTTCGTCCCGCTTTGTGGATAGTCGAGCCTCGTCGCCCTTCGCCTTGTGAGCTCGCTATGCGGTCAAGCCGAGCCGTAGCTACCGGCCCCGCTAACCCTTATTTCGCTATGCTATTGGGCGCATCGGGCTATTTTTGGTTTTGCTTACTCCCGCTGCTGGTCACATCTACCCGCACCTATTTGGGCGAGCCTACTCGGCTGTTACGGCCTCCTTGTTCCGTTGTTAAGGGCTTAAGACCTCCTTGTTCTATCAAGCCAAGCTCTTGCCGATGCTCCACTCGCCTCCCGGACTCCGCTTGCACTATTAGGGTCGGCTCTGCTCGCCCTTCCCGTCTTGGCAACGGCTAGCCTAAGGGTCGTTATCTTGGTCGAATGATGTTTTCCGTTGTATTCAATATAGCTTTTGTACATGGTTAGGCTTTGCTCTTTTTTGCCCTCTTAGCAAAGATGTTGTCTCGTTGTTGAGCTTTTTGTAAAGGGTACTAGCTAGTTCTCGCTTGGTTCCCGTTTGTTTTTTCTTAGAATCTTTGCTAGATCGATTCCTTGAGCAACCATCTAGATATAGCTCGGTTTCGCTTCATGGGAGCTCGTTCCCATTTTTGTAAAACCCGTATATGTTACTCTTGTCGGCTCTCCAACTAGTTTTACTTTGATTTATACACTTACATTTAAATAAAAAAATAAGAAAGAGCTCTTAGTGTAGCAAGCCTAGAGTGAGAAAGAAGAGAGAGATGCTCTCCTCCTTCCATGGAGCTCTTTCCCTCCGGATTAGCCTTGCTTCGTCCGGACAACTCTAATTTGCCTCATTTTCGTTAGCCATGGGATAATTTCTCCCTCCCTGCTCAAGTTTTTGCATCCCTCTCTGTCTTGTTTATTGATAAATTTTCTCCGTAAATCTTTTCTCTCTTCCCGACATTTCGGTTTCCCTCTCTCTAATGGCAAAGAAGAAACGAAAACCCATAGCCAACACCCCTACAGACTACTATACCGTAATTCTCCGACTACCCTATCATTGCCCTAAAAGCTCCCGTCTCATCAGTCCACCCTCTAAAGGAATCCAATACCCCCTCCCCCCAACCGCAAAAAACCCTAGACCACAAAAAAACCGCTCTCTCGAAATCGCCCTTAACAAATCCCAAGCCCCATTTTCCGATAATGTATCAATTGAGATCGAGGACCGCTCGAATGAGGATGAGTTCGATGAAGAGGAGGAGGGGCATTCCGAGCTAGAAAGAATACATCGGTCTCAATCCCCTTTTCCCGGCATCGCGTAACCTACTTTGGATTCGGGGAAGCCACCGACGCCTGCCAAATTGCCACGGGATCTCGATTGCATTATAAATTTCCACGTCACCCCGGCATATACTTGTCCGTAGAAGTCACCCCTCCCTTGTCCCTACTGCTAGAGATACCGGTAGTGCAAAGTGAGACTCTTGCGGGTGAAACATCCAAAGCAAAGACAACCGTATCTCCCCCTCTAGCTAAGAAATGGAGAGACTTATTTGTCGGTAATCAAAACTTTGCTTTGTGTCCTAAATTGTCTCATTTCTCTCGCTATCACTCAATCGAAACAATGCATTTTGATTAATGATGACACCCAATGTGAGTTATGGAAATCTCGCCTTATGGGTTATGTTGCGGGCGAAGCCACGGCTACCATGCACTAAATGGAATCATTAAGGATACCTAGAAATGTGCTTGCTACCTTAACGAGTTCATGAATCGGGATGGTTAATCTATAAATTCCAATCGAAGAAGAAATGCTCTCGGTGCTTAATGAAGGACTTTATCTCATTTACAAGCGAGCTTTGATTTTGCGACCAATGGCCGAATATTTTGATTTCTCCAAGTCTTGAAATGGCCACTCGTTCCCTTTTGGGTCAAGTTTCCTAACCTCGCCATTAAAATGCTGGTCATCTCTCTCGTTTGTCAAAGATTGCAAGTATGCTAGGCAAACCAATCCAATGTGACAGATTGACCGCCTCCATGGACCGCCTCTCCTATGCTAGAGTACTTGGTAGAGCTGAATATTATGGAGAACTTGCCTCGAATTATAACCATTCAATTACCAAATGGAATAGCCCTCTTACAACCGAGTAGTGTATGAATCTCTCCCCGTACATTGTAAAAAATGCCGTATTCTTAGCCACTTAACACAACCTCGCAAAAATCGGACCTTTCGGGATCCGACTAAAGACACTACGAATGGCGAGTGCAGCGAGAAGGTAGACAAACCTAGTCCACTATGCTCAAGCACGCGGATGACGCTCCCAATGCTTCCCTTATTACAGCCTCAAACACAAGCCGACCTATGCTCCTTGAAGCGACGGATGCGTCCAAGGAATGGGAGACAATGCTTAGACACAAACACTCATACGAGTGGTGCTAAAAAAGGGAAAACCATGATACTCCATTCGATTCGGGGTAGGAGCCATGCACCGACCCTAGGCCACTCGAGCCTCGATCGGATATGGCCGGCGATAGCAAAACGACTAGGAGTAGGTTGACTAACCGACAAGGAGAGCCGACCGGTCTTCGAAATCGGGAAGTTGGGGGAAGTTCGGATCGGGATAGACTTGTGAATATCTCTCTAGCTAGAGCCGTGACGATCGATGCGGGAACATTTTTGGTTAGCGGAACCAACATTAGTTAGAGGGCTCTCCGAGCGAGAGGATGGTAACAACAATGAAACGGAATTCCCGTGTCCCTATACTTCCCTAGGGGCTATATCTCTAGACCCCCAAATCGGAGATGACACACCGGTTTCCATGACAATTGTGATAGAGCGAGTCGCCACCAAGGAGCTACGCGAGGCGAAGTGGGGGTCGAAGGGGCTCGGCCCCTTCGCTCAACAATGATCATCTTAAGCTGGAACATCGGAGGGCTAAATAGCCTTCGAAATAGCATGAGACTATCCGTCTCATGAAGAGAAAGAAGGTAGACATTTGTGCCCTTGTGGAAAAAAAGCTCGGTTTAGCAAAGCTTACAAATATGCACCGCCTTCGGCTCGAAGCACTCGGAAATTTGCTTGCTAATGCTATGGTCGTGGGTAATGCATGCATTGCTCTACTTTGGAACCCCAACACTCGTTATGGTGTATGTACTATATGTATCTATCTAAGGTTTGAATGTTCGGATTACCGATCTTATTCGAGCAAACGGTTTTCCATGCAACATTTGTTTATGGGTCGCTCTCTATCTCCTCTAGGCGAGGGTTGTGGGAAGACCTTCGTCAATGGCACTCGCACGATCCATGGATTATTATGAAAGACTTTAACTCAATCCTATCCCAAACCGATAAACATAATGACACTGCTCGTTTCCAACTACGAGACCTCCGATTTTTGAACCTCGCTGTTCGATGCGGGGCTTTCGACTCGAACTACACAGGAAATCACTTCACTTGGCATGGGGTGGAAGTTTGGACAAAAATTGACAGAGTTTTAGCTAGCCCCCTTTGGGCCTCCTCTCGAATATCTACACATGTTCATCTTGAGCCTCTAGGAGCTTTTTCGACCACTCCCCAATTTTGGTTTCCCTTGGTCCGCATATGCGATTAGGTACTCGCAGACTTTAAATTTTTTAACATGTGGGTTGGACATTCGGATTTTATTAAACACGAGTTACGGACAATTGGGCTACTAATATCCGTGGTACACCTATGTATGTCCTATGTCGGAAATTGAAAACCCCGAAGGCCCCCCGAAATTGTTGAACAAACTACACTTCGACCACATATCCAACGGAGTAGCTAGAGCCGAATCTAAATTGTTAGCCCTTCAAATCGAGCTTCACAATGACGGGGATAACCATAGGTCGTGTGAGATCGAGAAGCACCTTCGGCTTAATCTGGCAAACCTTAAAGCTTCGAAAAAATGTTCTTTGGCCGAAGCTCAAATACAAATTCCTCAAAGATTGTGACAAAGGAACGAGTTTTTTTCATGGCCTAATGAATCAAAAGCACAAGATCAATCACATTGCATCCGTTACAAAGCGCAATGGGCGACTCACTATCTCTATTGAGGAAGTTGGTGAGGAGTTTGTCTCCTACTACCAAGGCTTACTTAGTACTGCTAAAGATACGGTCTCCCTAGACACCGAGTGTGATTGCTAACGGCCTTACATTACAATTGGACAACCATGCCATGTTGCTTACCCCGATTTCGGATGATATAATCAAGCGGACCTCGCTTAGTATAGACAACGATAAAGCGCCATGTCCCGATGGATTTTCTTCTCTTTTTTCAAAGAAACTTGGGATATCATCGGGTCTAACTTCGTGCGTAGTCGAGGACTTCTTTAGGTCCGGAAAACTCCTACAACGAGTCGGTCACTCGGTCATAGCTCTCATCCCCAAGATGGACCAATGCTTCTCTACCTAGTGACTACCGACCTATAGCTTGTTGTAATGTCATCTATAAAGTAATATCCAAGATCCTCTCTAGACTCGTCCTTGGCTCTTTCGGATATTGTAAGCCCTTCCCGAATGCATTCTTGGCGGGATGAAAAATGTCCGATAATATCTCGCTTGGTTCAAGAATTGCTTCGCATGTATGGCCAAAAGAGAGCCTCTCCTCGTTGCTTAATAAAGATCGACTTTCACAAGGCCTTTGACTCGGTGCAATGGGGGTTCCTCAAACGGCTTCTATTATAATTGGGTTTCCCGGACAGATTTGTGGGTTGGATTTGTTCTTGCATTGAGTCGGCATCGTACTCCATTTCGATTAATGGGGGTTTATTTGGCTTCTTCCGAGGTAAAGCGGGGGTCGGACAAGGGGATCCTCTCTCTCCCTACCTTTTTATCGTTTGCATGGAATATTTCTCGAGGCTAATATAGATAGCAATAGCACATCCGGATTTTCGTTTCCACCCTAAATGTGAGGCCCAAACCATCTCTCACCTTGCTTTTGCCGATGATGTCTTATTCCTCCGTCGTGGGGATACTACTTCAATCCGAATTCGACCAAGCAACTCTCTCTCTTTGAGCGCACTACCGGACTAGCCATCAATACGGCTAAATCTTCGATTTTCTTTAGAGGGGTGAGAGGTG